TATTATTCTTTGGATACATATCGGGGTAAGTCACTTGTCTTTCTATACGAGCCTTAAACGGCTTTGTAATTGTGGGTCTATTTTGATATATATCTAATTCAGAATCATATATAATTTTGTAATTATTATTACTATTACTATTACTATTACTATTACTATTACTATTACTATTAGTATCAGTATCAGTATCATTATCATTATCATTACCATTGTCATTGTCATTATCATTGTCATTGTCATTGTCATTGTCATTGTCATTGTCATTGTCATTGTCATTGTTATTGTTTTTATTCTTATTCTTATTGTTTTTATTCTTATTCTTATTGTTTTTATTCTTATTCTTATTGTTATTATTGTTATTGTCATTGTCATTGTCATTGTCATTGTCATTGTCATTGTCATTGTCATTGTCATTGTCATTGTCATTGTCATTGTCATTGTCATTGTCATTGTCATTGTCATTGTCATTGTCATTGTCATTGTCATTGTCATTGTCATTGTCATTGTCATTGTCATTGTCATTGTCATTGTCATTGTCATTGTCATTGTCATTGTCATTGTCATTGTCATTGTCATTGTCATTGTCATTGTCATTGTCATTGTCATTGTCATTGTCATTGTCATTGTCATTGTCATTGTCATTGTCATTGTCATTGTCATTGTCATTGTCATTGTCATTGTCATTGTCATTGTCATTGTCATTGTCATTGTCATTGTCATTGTCATTGTCATTGTCATTGTCATTGTCATTGTCATTGTCATTGTCATTGTCATTGTCATTGTCATTGTCATTGTCATTGTCATTGTCATTGTCATTGTCATTGTCATTGTCATTGTCATTGTCATTGTCATTGTCATTGTCATTGTCATTGTCATTGTCATTGTCATTGTCATTGTCATTGTCATTGTCATTGTCATTGTCATTGTCATTGTCATTGTCATTGTCATTGTCATTGTCATTGTCATTGTCATTGTCATTGTCATTGTCATTGTCATTGTCATTGTCATTGTCATTGTCATTGTCATTGTCATTGTCATTGTCATTGTCATTGTCATTGTCATTGTCATTGTCATTGTCATTGTCATTGTCATTGTCATTGTCATTGTCATTGTCATTGTCATTGTCATTGTCATTGTCATTGTCATTGTCATTGTCATTGTCATTGTCATTGTCATTGTCATTGTCATTGTCATTGTCATTGTCATTGTCATTGTCATTGTCATTGTCATTGTCATTGTCATTGTCATTGTCATTGTCATTGTCATTGTCATTGTCATTGTCATTGTCATTGTCATTGTCATTGTCATTGTCATTGTCATTGTCATTGTCATTGTCATTGTCATTGTCATTGTCATTGTCATTGTCATTGTCATTGTCATTGTCATTGTCATTGTCATTGTCATTGTCATTGTCATTGTCATTGTCATTGTCATTGTCATTGTCATTGTCATTGTCATTGTCATTGTCATTGTCATTGTCATTGTCATTGTCATTGTCATTGTCATTGTCATTGTCATTGTCATTGTCATTGTCATTGTCATTGTCATTGTCATTGTCATTGTCATTGTCATTGTCATTGTCATTGTCATTGTCATTGTCATTGTCATTGTCATNTTTTCGAGGCTTGCCTCTTGGCCAGCCTCGTTTCTTTGGTTTATTTCTTATATCTGTCACCTGGGAACTTAGGGAAGTCTCATCTCCTGAAGGAGGGAAACAAAATCAGGTGACATCTCTCTCTTTCGTTTTTCACTGTCAATATTAGATGTTTGCGACGGTGGATCCTGCTTTATTAAAGGAAGAATTGCAGCTACTATCTTAGGAATTAATTGGTCGACAAGAGAGGTATAATCACTTTTTGGTGGAGAACTTGTAGCCTTAGCATAGGAGACGTTCGGTGTAGGGGTGTTGATAAGGATTCTTTTCTTTGCTTCAAAATAGGAAATATTTTCTTTGACTTTTATCTCTTGAATTGCCGTTTCTTGTTTGTATATGGGACAGTTTCGGGATCTAGCAGAATGTGAGCCATTACAATTTATACAAGTTAAAGGCTCTTCACAAGGGCTGCCTACGTGAAGAGGTTTACCACAAATACATATTTGTTCTTCCTGGCAACGAAGAGAGGTGTGACCAAATTTTTGACATTTGAAACAGCGCATTGGAGGTGGAACATATAATCTAACTGGTAGTGAGTAAAATGCAACTTTGATTCTTTTAGGTAGAACAGGATTATTAAAGGTAATTATATGGTTTGGAGAGTCAATCAAATTGCCATCTCGTTTAATTTTTATGCGCCTGACAGCTAAGACACCTTGATCTTTTAGTCCCTCAAGAATTTCGTCTATGGAACAGTTTAGAAGATCTTGACAGTATATGACACCTCGAGATGTATTTAAGTTATTGTGTGGGACAACTTCTACTGCAAATTCTCCTATCTTTTTTGCTTTAAGAAGACATCTTGATTGAGCCGCTGAAACTGTCTCTACTAGTAATCCTTCTCTGATTTTGCTTATATTCTTAGCATTTCCAATTACACCATATAAATTCTTCTCTATAGTGAAGGGATTCACTCTTGCGAAATCTCCTTCAATCCTCTTCACAATCAGGAACCGGGGTGGATTTCCCGTCTCCCGACTTGTGTCGGTGGGGGTTATTTGAGGTGGATCCCCATCCACATCCCTGTTTTGAGAGGAGGACGCCTCTATATTTTTATCCTTCGTGTCCATGCTAGTCCCACGAGTAGGCTCTGAAATAAACGCGACCGTAGCAGAGCAGGCTTACCACGGAAGGGCTACATTACAACCGGAGGTCACCAGGTGTCCGGAGGCAGCCGTTTGCGACTCTCTCACGCGGAGCCATAAAATCCCTCGGCACGGCCAACACCTTGGATTACAGATTTATTTTCCTGGTTTACTCCAGTAGATCCGCCGTGTTCTGTTTAAACAGGGTCACCTCGTGAAGGTTGTGGCTCTTCACCACGCACGGACGGTCTTGAGANCTCTGGAATTTCTGAAACCCAACACCGCGAGTTCTGTGATGATACAATTCCATTCGTCGTGAATGTGGCCTCATCGCTGAATAAGATATTTAAAAAAAAAGTCGGTAATTGAGATATTGTCTCTGTGCCCATAGACAAAACTCCATTCGTTTCTCATTATCACCTGGTTCCAGAGTGTGAAGAAACTTAGGTTTATAGGGTTTTATGATATTTTTTTTAAGCCGCGTCGGATACTTTCTCTAGGTAAATTTAAATCTAAACTAGCAATCCTGAGGCTATTCTGAGGATTGTTTGTAAAATAATATATATTTCACAGCCTACCAAATTTTGTTCATATTATTTTAAGCAACGTTATTTTCTGGATATCTCGTAATATTTTTTTCAGAAAATTCTTCACAAAGAATTGGATTATGGTTGCAGAATCCAGTGGCTTTTTGAATAAAAAAATTATAAATGTAATTATTTTTGTCTAAGAAATTATTAATTTAATTAATTATATTTGTAAGTTTTGGCATAATAACCACGAAATAATAATAATTTGACGAACTTGTTGTTTATTTTATGTATACTGGTTTTTATGGTTCTTATTAATAATAATTATTAAACCAGTGTTTGTTATTTAATTTTGTTTCGCTTTGGGTTCTATTCGGTTTTTATAAAAGAATAGGTTCACCGACAACGGCAAACAGTGGTGATGCCGATATTGTCATAAGTTTTTTAGGGGCAAACTTTTTTCGCATAAATTGGTACAAATGCATTTGAGGGGTTCCTAAATCCAGTGGTGTAGTCAGATTTTTTATAAAAAAATCGCTAACAAAATTTTGCTATTTTTCACTTAAAAAAAAATTCGTAGTAGGCCTTGAAAATCAAAATTTCGTCTTCAAATTTTGCACCAGGATAGAGCTTTTGGAGATCTATCTTTTAAAAAAAACTCTGTTCAAATCGGTCCATAAACAACTTTTGTACGCGAGTGTTTCCATTCTTAATGGGTCACCCTGTATATACAAAATCCTTCAGACAAAATGTCACTTCTTTCGAGTTACTTTTTTGATATTATCATTCTAAATGCCCTTGCCTGCCATAAAATGTAATAAATAAATACATAATAATTTTTAAAATTTTCAGGTTTTAATATGATCTAATTCCACTGGAGTAAAGAGTAATTATTCTAGCCTTTTCCTGATCGGTGCAATGTATGTCTGTTTTGTGTTAATAACAGCAACAACAAAAAATTTAAATTTGTATAAAAAAACTCAATCTAGACAGAAACACGGGTAATAGACAAATACGTCAATACGTAGACAATGTCTAATGGCTAATAAAGGCTGTTTAACCAATTAAGCGATTTTAAATATTACCATTCCTGTTATTCATTTTATTTATATTCATTTATTTAAAAAAAGAAACATTCTATTATTAGCTTTCGTATTGTTACTCTATTGTAAAGATATTGAGCTAATTCAACCAAATTCAATTTTTTTTCTAAAAAATCTTATCAAATGAAATCAAACGTCAAAATCAAAAACATGAAATATTCTTCGATACCAGAAATTTAGGTACCTACCTATGCAAAAGATATCTAATCTCACAGACGAGATTCCTAACAAAAATAGAAGACATTTATTTAAATGTTTACTAGATATTGCTGATACTACAGACAAGAAAACACCTAACAGTTGATATTGAACAAAACAACTCATCTATGAGTTGGTTAGGTAAATTTTGCATATCTAGATTTCTGGTATCGAAGAACATTGTTTGACTTCCTTTGATAAGATTTTTTAGAAAAAAGAAATGAATTTATTTGAATCAACTTAATAGGTACCTTACATTTACAATAGAGTAATAATAATAATTATTATAATAATAACATCCATATTTCCCTGTTGCAGAAAACGTCTAAAAATAAATACATCTAAAAATATTAAAATATAAATAGGTATTTAAAATATCATCTGCGTCGAGAATCTTAGTTCTAAAAATATCACGTCTTTATTAAAGCAGTGTGTGTTTGTTATTAGTTTTTGTGATGTGGGTTAAATTATTCTCCCTGTAAATATTCTACCATAATTAAAGTTATTGATATGCATCCAACAAAAACAGATGGACAGCAATGGTCTATACGAGCAGAGTTTACTGTATCACCCCAAGGCGTTTGTGTTCCAGATAAAAATTGTTTGGCTAATACTACTCAGGACAAAAGTGGAATTCGATTATCCTACTGCTGGAAATCAAATGAGAATACTAATGCAGTTAATACATTAAACTGTCGACCAGGCCGTAATTTATGTAAACCTGTTGAATATCAAAAAGGTAGTTTAACTTTCACATCGACACCTCCTTGTAGATTGCATACAACATATGGAAATAATTTTGAATGTCGCGACTCCGGATATGGAAGTGATTTAATGTCGCTTAATTCTTTAGCAAGCGGAACGTCGCAAAGCGCAAACAATCGCAAATGTAGGAGTACGTGCAGTATAGTTTTGTGCAGTAACGTTTGTAATAACGCAGAAGAAAATTCCCCAAAGCCCCGTCAAACAAAATACGAAAAAAATGATATTTTAAGTTGCCAAACACCTGCAATACAAAATAAGCGATGTAATACTAATTTTTATGATTGCCGTGATCCGTATTATCAACATACAAATAGTACAAAAAACAAGAAATTATCAGAAGAACAAGTACTTTGTAATACAGAGTCACAATATCCAACTGAATTTTTACCTTCAATAAAATTTAATCCAAGCATAGATCGGATTATTAAATCAGCCGATTACAAGCCATATAAAAGAGATGTTTCAATCCAAACATCGGATAGTTTACAGAAATGTTCAATTACGAATTTAGAGAATAGCCAAAAAGAAAAATTAAGAAAATCTGAAAAAACACAGTCTAATAATTTCAATCGTAATTCTTCTATACGTGGTCAATATTCATCGTCGACAAGAGACAGTGGAAAAAAATTGCAGGTAATTATTTTCATTTATGTATATTAAACGTACAGCTAACAACTTGTGAAGCTAACCGAAAAAGCAACCTCGAAAATGTACCTATTACTTAGTTAATATACACTGAACGAAATCCACCAAGTGAGGGGCTTTGCTAAGATATTTTAGCTACAGTAGGTAAAATTTTTGCTCTCAGAAAATAATTCATGCTGCCACAAGTAAATACGTTTTGCTGAAACGTGTTTGCTACCACAACAAAGAAAAGTCTTGTGGCTATATGATAGCCAAACCAAACAACAATCATAGCATGTTAAGAAATAAAAAAGGAGGTTAAAAAACGTACGATTTCGGATAAAAGCTAAAATTATTTCTACTTTTTCTGACGTCGTATGAATTTAAAAAGTTTCGGATGAAAATGAGCGGTAAAAATTTGAATGTATATTAACCAATAGGAACACTTTCGGACCTTCGTATCGTCGGAATTCGGATGCATGGGACACCGGCCTTAGTCGATGGGTCCTTTATAATAAATAGATGTTTTGTGATCGAGTGTTGAGTCAGTTTTCAGTTGTCTAACAACCGACAGAAAGTTTTCAATTAGAGTATTTGCGTAGGTAAGCAATAATACTTATATGCATGCCTGATTACATGCACACAATGCAGGCTGGATACAAACTCTTACTTCTCGAATGGGGATTTTCATTTTATGCTTGTTTGAAAATATGTACAACATTTAAGTTGCATTGCATGGTGCACGAAAGAGTGAGGAGAGCCAACAACACCGAAAAATAGTAAATACGGAGTTCGCTCGCTTGGGGTTAATGAGTCGACTCGCTTAGGATTAATGAGGACTCGCTTGGGGTTAATGAGTTCACTCGTTTGGGGTTAATGAGTTGAGTCGTTTGTGGTTAATGAGTTGACTTACTTGAGGTAGGAAAGAGATTATAGCAAAACTGTCTACTTACTGCAAGTGAGTTCCTTCCAGCAAAGCAGTTTTTCTTGTGGTAGGAAGGCAACTCACTTGGCGCCTATTTAATGCAGATATTTTGCTACGGTTAATGGATTTTTACTAACCGTAACAAAGAAATTCTCTCAGTGTACATTTCAAATACAAAATATTGTAATTACAAACCTGAAGTTTAAAATTTTCAAACATGGATATTAGGTCTGTGTTCAGCGAATGGTCGGATTAGTTCGGTCAAACTTTTTTAGTCAAACTATTCGCTGAATGGGCTTTTATTAACTGTATTATTAAAACCCGCCCAATATACCCAATCAGCTGATTGGGCTAACCAACGAAATATTTGTCCACATATATACAGGATGTAACTTTAATTGAGGGTCAATTTTTTAGGGGTAATACGTTAGTACGTGCTCCCGTGAATACGAATCTGAAATTCTTTTTTTATTCAAACAAATAGTCGCGTTATAATCAGGGATGGGCGTTTACGCGTCGACTTTAATTGTCGACATCTACATGTAGACTTCGCGTAGACTATGTAAACAACGTAAGTAGATAGGCTATGTTACTACGGTGACAAAATCCCATGTATTTTCTTATGAAGGTTCATCCTGGTCATTTTTGACGAATTTTACCCCCTCCACTCCACTTTTAGGCCACGCCCATCGACCAATCAGAGCGTAGCATTCAAATTGGCCACATCTCTCGACCAATCAGATCGCGGCAAATTGGCGGTAAATTTAAAATCGAGTAACGATAGGTTGTTTGATCAATCAGAGTGCGGCAATAAAATTGGCGGTAAATTCAAATTTCTAG